ATATATCCATCCTTCCAATTTCTTCCACTTATCCGGGGTCGGGTCGCATGGGTAGCAGTTTAAGTGGGGAGGCCCAGACTTCCCTCACCCCAGCCTCTTGGGCCAGCTCCTCCGGGGGAATCCCAAGACATTCCCAGGCCAGCCGAGAAATATAGTCCCTCCAGCATGTCCTGGGTCTTCCTCTGTGTCTCCTTCCGGTGGGATGTGCCCGGAACACCTCACCAGGGAGGTGTCCAGGAGGCATCCTAACCAGATGCCCGAGCCACCTCAACTGACTCCTCTCGATGTGGAGAAGCAGCGGCTCTACTCTGAGTCCCTCCCAGATGACTGAGCTTCTCACCCTATTTCTAAGGGATAGGGAGAGCCCAGATACTCTGCAGATAAAACTAATTTCAGCTGCCTGTATCCATGATCTCGTTCTTTCAGTTACAACCCAAAGCTCATGACCATAGATGAGGGTAGGAACATAGATCAACCAGTAAATTGAGAGCTTCGCCTTTTTACTCAGCTCTCTCTTCACCAGGACAGACCTGTACAGGCCCGCTTCACTGCAGACACTGCACCTATCCACTTATCAATCTCCTGCCTCCATTTTCCCCTCCTTGTTCAACAAGACTCCAAGAAACCGCATACTCGCAGAGTACCCCCCACAGGGTTCCCCTAGGGACCCGATTGAACACCTTCTTCAAGTTCACAAAGCACATGTAGACTGGTTGTGCAAACTCCCATGCACCCTCCAGGAGCCTACTGAGGGTGTAGAGCTGGTCCTGTGTTCCAGGACAAAAACCGCACTGCTCCTCCTGAATCCGAGGTTCGACTATTTGATGGACCCTCCTCTCCAGAACCCCTGAATAGACCTTACCAGGGAGGCTTAAGAGTGTGATCCCCCTGTAGTTGGAACACACTCTATGGTCTCTTTTTTTGAATAGGGGGACTACTATCCCAGTCTGCCAATCCAGGGTAACTGCCCCCGATGTCCACGCAATAGAGTCGTGTAAGCCAACACAACCTCACAACACCCAGAGCCTTAAGGAACTTTGGGCTAATCTCATCCACCCCTGAGGCCCTGCCACCGAGGAGCTTTTTAACCACCTCGGTGACCTCAGCACCAGAGATTGGAGAGCCCGACTCAAAGTCCCCAGGGTCCACTTCCTCAGTGGAAGACATGCCGGTGGGATTGAGGAGGGCTTCGAAGTATTCTGCCCACCGACTCACAACATCCTGAGTTGAGGTCAGCCGCACACCATCTCTACTATAAATAGTATTGGCGGTGTACCGCTTCAACCCCCCCCCCCCCCCCGAGACGTCGGATGGTGGACCAGAATCACCTCGAAACCATGTGGAAGTCTTTCTCCATGGCCTCTACGAACTCCTCCCACACCTGAGTTTTTGCCTCTGCGACAACCCGAGCCGCATGCTGCTTGGACTGCCGGTACCCATCAGCTGCTTCCGGGGTTCCACAGGCCAAAAAGGCCCGATAGGACTCCTTCTTCAGCCTGACAACTTCCCTCACTTCTGGTGTCCACCACCGGGTTCAATGGTTACTGTTGTGACAAGCATTGACAACCTTGCAGCCACAGCTCCGATAATCCACCTCGACACTAGAGGCATGGAACATGGCCCACTCAAACTCAATGTCCCCCACCTCCCCCGGAACGTGTTCTAAGCTCTCCCTGAGCTGGGAGTTAAAGCTCCATTTCACGGGAGACTCTGCCACATGTTCCCAGCAGACCCTCACAATATGTTTGGGTCTGCCAGGTCTGACCGGCATCTTCCCCCACCATCGGAACCAACTCACCACCAGGTAGTGATCAATGGACAGCTCCGCCCCTCTCTTGACCCGAGTGTCCAAGACATGCGGACGCAGATCAGATGAGACGACAACAAAGTCAATCATCAAACTGCGGCCTAGGGTGTCCTGGTTCCAAGAGCACATATGGACACACTTATGCTTGAACATGGTGTTCGTTATGGACAATCCATGACGAGCACAGAAGTCCAATAACAGAACACCACTCGGGTTCATAAACACACCTCCAGGTCTCACTGTCATTGCCCACGTGAGCGTTGAAGTCCCCCAGCAGAACAAGGGAGTCCCCAGACGGTGTACTCTTCAGTATACCCCTCCAAGGACTCCAAAAAGGGTGGGTAATGTAAACTGCTGTTTGGCGCATAAGCACAAACAACAGTCAGAACCCATCCCCCCACACGTAGGTGGAGGGAGGCTACCCTCTCGTTCACCGGGGTGAACCCCAACATACAGGCACCAAGATGGGGGGTGGGGGGCAACAAGTATGCCCACTCCTGCTCGGCACCTCTCACCAGGGACAACTCCAGAGTGGAAGAGTGTCCAACCACTCTCAAGGAAACTGGTTCCAGAGCCAGAGCCATGCATCGAGGTGAGTCTGACTATTTCTAGCCAGAACCTCTCAACCTCACACACCAGCTCAGGCTCCTTCCCCACCAGAGAGGTGACATTCCACGTCCCAATAGCCAGCTTCTGTAGCCGAGGCTCCATGGGTAAAAGCCTGGCCACCAGGCGCTCGCCAGCATGCCCCACCTCCAGGCCTGGC